AACTTGCAGCATGAAACATAAATATTAAACTTGCAGCATGAAACATATAAACATAAATATTAAACTTGCAGCATGAAACATAAATATTAAACTTGCAGCATGAAACATAAATATTAAACTTGCAGCATGAAACATAAATATTAAACTTGCAGCATGAAACATAAAAACAAATATTAAACTTGCAGCATGAAACATAAATATTAAACTTGCAGCATGAAACATAAATATTAAACTTGCAGCATGAAAGTAAAAAAGCATAAATGTAAAAACTCCACAAAGTGAACAGTGTGCATTTCTCTCTTAATAAGCAAGACTTAATACGTGTTAATACTTTTGGCTAAATGAGCATGAACGTTGTACTTTACCTTCCAGAAATCCTCCATGGTGGAGAGGCTCCTGAAAGTAGCAGGGTCTCCTGGAAACAGTGGCGTGTCGAGGAACAGCTTGGACATAACTTTGGTGTAATAGTACATGTTGCTGTTCACCATCCCATAGGTCACTGTAGAGCATGAGGCAATACAAACAAGTATTAAAATGTATTTAATTATAATGAATGAATGAGCAGAAACAAAAACGTGACTGCTTCATAAATAAATATTGTTTAGCACTAAATCTAAACCTTACATCAGGTTAAATGTAGTAGTTGTTTTTTATTTATAGAGATGATATAATTTCCCTCTGACGTTCACATTAGTGTTCACGGTGGAAGAAACGGTCGAGTTCTGCCTGGCGTAATGTGCCCCAATTCTGTTCCTGAACCACCGAGCAGCATTTCACTGCACTACAGAAGAAACTGTAAGATTATTCTAGTTATCTAATCATACATATTCATCAATATCAACATGTGGTTATAAAATTTGATGGATGGTGCCACATTTAAAAAAAAGCTTCAAGTGACGCTCTTTACATTAAATGCATATTTAGTACCTAAATTTAACTTTAAGAGCACTTGAAACCTCCCATTAGCTAAAGCTGTTCACGCCACACGTTTTAATGGCCGACTGGGGGGATTTTGAAAAACAACTTCAGTGGTTTGTTTGTCTACTGGTTATGTCAGGGTGTCCTCTTTTTCTCAGTGACTGTATTTCATTGACTAAACGATCAACTAACTAATCAATATGTGCTCAGCAGAGGTTCATACACCACACTAGGTTGAACTTCAGGGACAACACATGATTTATCCTCATGCTGCTCAATAATCCAGGTAGAAAAATCTAAAAAAGCTATGTCAGGTCCTCTGGACGGATTTTTCTTGTTGAAACGTTTCGTCTTTAATCCAAAGGACTTCTTCAGTCTGAGGAGCTGCAACAAACTCAGTCTTATAAACAGCACCTTCTCATGGTGGATCCACCGGTTTGGTGTTGACGTCCAGAACTAGATGTTCACATGATCAAGGAGGACCATCAGCCTAACGACTGATCGTTAGTGCCCTGATGGCCACTTGTTATTCACAGAGGACAGTGATGCTAGCAATAACAGCATTGTAGGAGGGGGACAAGAGAAACTGTCCATCATTAAACAGGGGCGGAGCCTCCGTGTCCAACTGTCCCCCTCTTACATTGCTGTTGTTGCTAGAATCACTCAGTCCTCTGTGAATAACAAGTGGCCATCAGGACACTAACAATCAGTCGTTAGGCTGATGGTCCTCCTTGATCATGTGAACAGCTGGTTCTGGTCAACAACGAACTGGTTGATCCACCATGAGAAGGCGCTGTTTATAA